TAATTTACTTGCTTTATTTATATTACCGATCAATTAAAGTTTCAAATAAATTATTTTCTTTCTTTGGTAGGTAGGGACCAACCAAATAAATAAAATGTTGAATTGTTTTTTATATTGACGAGATTAAGAATCTCGTTAATATAAAAAGAACGCTTTAAAATCTCAACATAAGATCTTGAAAGAATTTTCAGTTTTTGATTTAAATATCGCATACCCTAGTCGGATAGATAATGGGATAAGTAGGACACTTGTTGTCGATAGGACTATGGATGTATTACACAGCAATCACTTTTATTCTTTTCTTTTTACACCCCGGTTTTAACCAGAATTTATAAAATGCATTTAGTTAAGTCAAAGGCTCAGATCAATACTTTTTTAAGCTCCAACTGCAAAAACTACAACATCTGCGTTTTTTGAAAAGTTACGGCAACATCTAAAACAACGAGAAAAATTTTGGATTACGTTTTGCATTTATTTTGAGACATTTCTTTTAAATTGGGGTTGTCCCAGATCTTTGGTTCAAATTAAATGTCACGCTTCTAAAAAAGGAAACAAAATCAAGGGGTAGTGGTTAAAGTTTTGGATCAGAACCGAGAGGTCCATGGTTCGAAGCTGGCTTACAGTGCTCTGTGATAAGACCATGTGGACTTGTTGGAACACCTAAATAACCACAATAAAAAACTTAATAACTAAAAGCTAGCGTCTCTCACCTCTATACCATGCAGAGTGACGGAGAAAATTATCAAAGATAGGATTATGAAACACTGTACACAATCTATTTTCAACACAAATCCAAATTCATAAGGGAGTCATAAAATTTTCAAAAAAAAGAAAAGTCTTTTTGTGAAATTGCATCACTAATATCGGTTGGTAAATCAACCGTAAACGATGTTATTAAAAGATCGTCTGTGTAATGGAAGACCAAAAAAACATCTAAAAAGTTAGATCGTCCCATTTAACGCACTCAACGTAGTTAAGGTGTAGTAAAATTGAAACGTAGTAAAATTGAAACGTAGTAAACTTGAAACGTAGTAAACTTGAAACATAGTTTCACTGCAACGTAGTAAAATTTAAATTAAAAAAAAAAAATTTCATCTTTGAAAATCTATAGCTTAGTTTTTTAAATGAAATGAAATAAAGGTAAATTTTTTTTTGTTTAATCTTCTTCTGCTTGTGTTTTAAAAAAATTTCTTTGAAATTTTTTTTTTTTCATATGCAAAATATAAGACTTTTATTAAGTCTCTTTTTGAACTTCTTGAGCTTTTTTCTCGGTCAGTTTACTTCAAATTGTTTTAAATAAAACTTAAAAGCGTCCTTAATTTGGACAGATCGAAAGAGCTAGAACTTTTAAAGTTATTAGGCTCTCCATTTAATAAGTAAAAGTAAACGAAAAAATTGTATGCTGGCATAAAAAAAAAATTATATTGTTTGGTATATTACATTTTAAAGAAATTTTAAAAGCTTTCTGTGGACTGCAAGCAAATTAAAGCTTTAATTTGATTGCAGTCCAATTTTAAAACTGTGACTCAAAGACTACATATATATATATATATATATATAGATATATATATATATATATATATATATATATATATATATATATATATATATATATATATATATATATATATATATATATATATATATATATATATATATACATATATATATATATATATATATATATATATATATATATATATATGTATATATATATATATATATATATATATATATATATATATATATATATATATATATATATATATATATATATTTATTTATTTATATTCCACTTAAAGAAAATACAAATATAGCTACGAATTTGTTCTTTAAAGACGAAATTGGCTAAAAGTGTTTTTTTACTCATTTCAAAAATTACTAAACTTTATTATCTGGTTCTCGTTTTTTATTTAACGGAAAATATTATGATCAATCAGATTGTGGTACAATGGGTTCTCCTCTAGCACCAATTTTAGCAATTATTTTTATTGGGTTCAATGTACAAACATGGGATAACAATTGGTTATCATCTATACCTACTTTTTTTTATAAATGGTTTGTTATTAATGCTATTTTTAATTTAGAGTTTGTAGCCCAGAAATTTAAAAAAAATCTCAATAAACAACGTAAAAACCAAAAATTTACTCTAAGAATAGAACAACCCAGGAAAAAAAGGCGTATAGAATTTTTTATAAACTTTTGAAACATATGGCCTATAGAAACTCTATAGAATTTTTATAGAATGTCTATTAATTTCTATAGAAATTGCTATAAAACTGTTTTTTCTATAAAATAATTTTATTATTAAAAATTTTTCTTCATAAAAATTATGTTTCAAAAGTTTATATAAAATTCTATAGAACTTTTTTTCCTGGGAAGATAATCAAATCTTATTTTAAGATGTTTTTACTAAAAAATATAATTCACTCTCTACATCAGTTTATCAAAAAAAAAGTTTATAGAAATTATTTTTAATTTTATAATTTATATTATATATTTATTCAGAACAAAAAAAACACTATTCTTTTAAAAAATTTGTATAGTTTTGTTTCCTTTGGTTGTAAAATTAGTCTAATATGTTGTTTGATTGATCGCACGTCAAAAACTAACATTTGAATATTTTGCATGGTTTGATAAAGACCTATAAAACCTTTAGTTTTAAAAACTAAATTTTCACAAAAAGTTTTTGACACCGAAATTAAATTATATGTTGTTACAAAAATAAATTCGACTTTAATATTATCGATAATCTTAACCAAATCCGTAGCTAGGCTACCCTATAAATAAAACACGTGATGTTCTAACCAAAGCCGTGGCTACCGCACACACAGAACATGTGATTTCCTCGTCAAGAAAAACACCTAAAATTTTTGTTACTAAATCTCTTATTTTTTTAAATTAATCAATAAAAATTTGCGGCATATTTGTTAGTGAGGAAGGTTTTTTGAAGAGTGGATGAAAGAAAATCCATTTTGTTTTGTTTATCTTCAGGGTTAATTTGTTACATTTGAACCAATTTAATACTTTTTGCAGTTAAGCATTCATAGTCGAATAGAGTTGGTAAATATCTTTATTAGAAAGGAACAAATTGATATCATCTGCAAACACGATACTTAAAAGATTTGAGGCTTCATAAAAGTCATTTTTATGTTAGAACTTTGAAGAACACCACAATATACTTACATTCGAATATTTCTAACAAATTATTTTGATAAAAATCATTATAATAGGCAAAATGCTTCTAGCTTCGAAACCTTTGTAAAACTCTGCTATTTAATCTATAATGTTTAAGTTTAAGGAGCAAAATATTGTGATTGTAGATCAAACGCTTTAGTAGAATAATAAAAATTTTTCTGGCTGTAGTGCTTGTTATATTATAAAAGCTCCAGACAAAAGTAAATGAACTCCTTACAAGTGACAAACAATTTTATGTTTATAAACATTTAAATTCATCTGCTAATTGCAAAAATCTAATTACTTTTGTTGCTAGATTTTAAATGCTATAAATAAAAGTAAATTTAAAATAAAACAAGCACTTCATATTAGTAGATTTATAGTTAGTTAAAATCCTTCTTCAAATAAACAAACCATTTTACTATATTATAAATTTGTCAAACTAGTTTACTTTACCATGACTTCATTATTTTTTCTTTAAATAAGAACGTGGTTTTTTTGTTTTAATCAAACTTTTATTTTTTTTCAGATATATTAATGGATGAACCGAGCGAATCTCCTGCACAATATTATGATTATAAAAACGAGTCCGAAACACCAGCGTATTACAATAACCTTCAAATTGATGATGGAAAATGGACAAGAGAACAGACACAAGTGTTAATTGAAACATGGAAGAAGCAAAAGTCAGTTTTGCTTAATGCAGCATCGAGTTCTGCCGAACATTTCAAGGTCTGGAAAATGATTGCAATTGAAGTTAACAAATATCAACCACCAAAGACTTTGCAACAGTGCAAAAAAAAGTTTCGGAATATTCGCTATATATGTAAAACTGCTATGACAAACAACAGTGATAGCGGTAATAAAAAACATTTCCCTTTGTTTTATACCGATTTTGTTGAAATAATTAGCGAAAGTGAACGGGTAAAAGGATATCAAAAAAGATATACCCCTCCGTTAGATAATGGTGCAGATAATGCTTCAGATACTTCTTCGGAGTACCATAATAATGAAGATAAGTTTTACTCAACCGAGACAAATACAAATACAAAACATTTTATTGGCGAACAGTCTCCTAACAAAACTGAAACAGAAAAAAATGATTCTCTTCCTTCTTTTATTGATATTAATTCACACAACAAGTCTCCTTGTAGGATAAAAACTTCACCTTGCAGAGCAAACACATCAAATTATTTAGATAAGAATAAAAATAATGATGATAATATTGTTGAGTATAATAACGTTGAAGGGTTTAATAGAAAACATAAAACGGATGTTAGCATAATGGGAAAGAACTATTTATCGCACAAAAGACATAAAAACTCTGACGACATTTTTGATGGTGAAAATATTTCGCTTAAAACTAATATAAGAAAAGAAAATTTGCATCAGGCAAATTTTGATGAAGAACCTTATCTAAAAAAAAAATTTTTATCAACGAGCTTTCTACCAGTTGAAAAGCAAAATGCAACTTTTTCAGCAAAAAGTCCTGTTCCAAACAGCATAATACGTGAAAATACAAAAGAGTTATTTTCTAATGGGTACTTAAAAAACTATGGAAATACTAGTATCTTTACATCGCCGCAACCGCAACCCCGTAATTTGTTTAATATTAACGAAAGGTTTCTTGAACTGCAAGAAAAGCAAATGCAAGTGTTTAGCGATATGCTTGAGCGCCACGAACAATTTTTGCTACAACTTCTTCAGCAGCAAAGAGAGGCTGCTACCGAAGCTCAGACTCGAGACCGCGAATTTATGTTAAGTTTGGTCGAAATGTTTGTAAACAAAAAAAAAAATTAATTAACTAATTAATAAACTTCTAATTATAACTATCAAAAAAAAATTAATAAAAATGAAAAAAATAAATAAATAAAAATATAAATGATAATAATTTTTTTTTAAAACAACTAATCTCAATATTATTTAAATTTATTTATAAAATTCAAACTACAAAATTTACGCTAAGCATCACAAATGTAGGAAACATTGTTTTAAATAAAATTTCAAATTCAAATCTGTTCATACCTATGTCAAGTAAAAATATTTTACAAAAAATTGCGTTAATTGAAACTTGATGACAAAAATACCCAAAAATGTTTACCTCGCGTCTACCCCCGGGTAAAAAATATTTCATTGTGAAGACAACGACTCTTTTTTGTTGTTGTTATTTTATCTAATACTAAATTTAAATTCATCGATAGATTTTTAATTTCATCTAGACCATTTAGATTCATCGACAGATTTTTAATTTTATCAAGACCATGTAAAATTTCCACCCTTCCTGGATTAACAATCATCATCAGTTCACCAGTTCTAATTAGTTTAATAGAAAAGAAGTTGAACCAATAAGAAAAGCTAAACCTAGGTATAGAACTTATAAAGTTGATTGTCAACACTGAAGGAAGAAACATAAGCAAAGAAAATAACTTAGTTGATGCATTGATTAGACCCACTAACTAGTCCAACCTTATTAATATAAGCAGCCGTGGCGCAGTAGCTAGAGCGCTTGCTTTATAAGTAGGAGATCCAGGTTCGAAACGAGCCTTGGACATATTTTCGCGTCACGGTAAGGAAGGAGGCGTGAACTTCCTGGTTAAATGCACTTCCGCGGTGCTCTGTGACAAGACCGTTAAGTCTTCTTGGGGCACCTAAATAAATAATAATAAAAAAAAAATTAACAAAACAATTTGAAAGCAGGAACCTTTTAATATTTTCATATTTAATAAAGCAAACAAATGTGATTGAAGAAATTCATCTGAAATCGATCAAGTTAATTAAGTAGAAAGATTATTTTTAATTATTAGTGACGTTGACATTTTTATGTTAAATGAGAATGTTATGCAAAATATTGCGAAATAAAATATCCCAAATCCCTGGAAATAAAAATATCCCAAAAGGTTTGCAGCCCTTGCCCCAAACGTGAGGGGAATAAGTTTCTTAAATATTTTTGTTAATTACCATATAATAATTTTAAACTTATCGACAGGTTTTAAATTTTACATAATAATCTTTTATTGTTCAAAAGTAAAGTTTACAGCTTCGAACCACGGACCGACTGCTTTGAACGGACCTCCAGTTGTAAAACAAAGAACCTGTGATCTAGTGGCATACATTCTAATTTTAAGGTAGCCCCGGAGAAAAAATTGGGAGCCGTTAAATTGGGTGAACGAGGTGGCCAGTTAAAGTTAGAAAAACTTGGTATTATTCAATCTCCAAATATTTTGCGCCAGACAGTTTAACGGTCTGTGTTAGCTGTGGCTCTTGTTGGAAACGAAATTTCTGAATTGTTTTATACCTCTAGTTTTAAATATTTTCAATCCACGCCCAGTTTTGAATGCCATTCACAAAAACTGCAACTTGTTTGTTATTTTCAAAAAAATATGTTCCAATAATCTTGAAGTTATTTCACACAATACTGTGCATCTAAGTGATTGCATTAAATCTTCAACAACAATTCTCGGATTTTGTGTGCCCCATATTCTGCAAATTTGCTTGTTAACATGACCAATAAAGTGAAAATGTGCCTTATCACAAATTATATGCTTGTGAATAAACTCGTTGATTTCTAGGCAAATTCTTGAAAACAGCAACTCTTTTGAGTACATGCTTTTGCATCATTCAGTTTTAACTCGTTAATCAATTGAATCTTGCTCTTGAAAAGTTGTGTAAATCTTGTATGTGAAAAGTATCTAAAAAATGTAAAGTATGTAAAAATAAATTTTATATCTAAAATTCTTTGCAAAAACCGAGATCACATGAAAACTGGCGGAAGTATTTGGATTTCTCGAAATACCTTTTTTTACCTGAGCAATATTCAGATCATTTTGAATCGTACGAAATTGTCCAGAACGTGAAAGATCAAACACAGGCCCTTTTTTCTAAAACAATTGGTAAATTAATTTCAGCAAAATGACTTTTGTGAGACATATCGAGAAAATAAGTTATTTTAACAATGGACTATATTATTAGCATTACGTATGATATTTTTTAGAATGTGATGATTTTTTTTTAAATTTAAAATACTATTTTCCTTATTTAGAAAAGCTTTTCTGTGATGGATAGATGTATGGTTGTGCAATTAATATGGGTACATTTTTCGTAAGAGTTCAATGTGTAATGTCTGAACGTGTTTAAATGATGAATAGACCATATTTTTTAATATTAAAGCTTTACAAAAATCAAAAAATGTTGCTCTTTAACACATTGGGCACACGACGTAATTTCGACGTTGATTTACAGTTGATTGTTAGTCGCGTCGTCGTATAACCAAAAATCAACGTTGTATCAACGTTGAAAAATTTGTTTAAAACTATCAAAGAAAATCGACGTTGATTCCACGTTAATTCAACGTCTATATTACGAATTCGACCGTTCAAAATTGCAGTATGAGAACTAAAATACCCATGCGTGACTTAAATTTTTTTTTATTACCATATTAAATAACAAGTAAAGACTTAACAAGTTATTTATTAGCCCAATAAAAACAAGTAAAGTCACACATGCTAATAATTAGGCCATCTGTTGCCTTTTTATAAGGTTTTGAATTTGACAACTTAATAAGGGGCTATCCCCCTCTGTTTTTAAATCTACGTATTTAAAAAAAAAAATGTTATGGGTTTCTAGGTTTTAGTAAAATATAAACCTTTTTAAAAGAAAAAAATTTAAAAAATTGGTGGTTACCTTGATAACCAAAAAATACCCCTAAAATGACCAAAAAGTAACTTCACGCTGGTCAAAATATAAGAATATGTGTACATATTTACCTTTTAAAATTTTAATACAATATTATCATAAAGTAGGGCTATGAAATGAATGGATCAGATTTTTCATAACATTTTGCCATCATCAAAATGGCGCAATCAAAGATTATGGTCAAAATTTTCATTGATTTTAAGTAATATATATATTTTTTTAATAAAATAAATAAATTCCATTCCATTCATTTCACAGAGTATAATATGATAAACACCTACTGAAAATTTCATATAAAAATCTAATACGGTTCTCCAGATAATTTGGCCGGCGTGCACAAATTTCTATTTTAAGAAAAAGACGATTTAAGTTTAAATTTTTGAAAACAATACAATTTTTTTCATAAAAACTGTTAAAAAATAAACAAAGTTTTCAAAATCCACCAGGAACATACAAGTCACCTTCTTTTTCAATTATTTTCTCATTTTTCTTCAGCTTTTTGTAATCTTTCACTATTTAATGATTTGCATCCTGCAATCATATGAAAGCCTGGTTCCATGTCCAGTTGCTTCAAAATGTTAATAGATGCTTTTGCTCCAATATTAAAGTTGGCAACAGCATCATATACACCAATTTCTAATTGGGTAAGTAATACAAATGTTTGTTTTGGTATACGCTTCCAAATCATTCCATTAAAAGATTCATTGGCATTTTGTGTCTTACCGTGCAAACATTTCTGTAACTCAATGTCTTTACTTAAATCCTCAAATATAGGTCTTACTTTCATAATGACATCCATTGATAAACCCGGTCCTGGCTTATAGGTTGATGTCTTATTTATTTTATCGGCATTGTATTTGCACCAGCTGTCTGCACCAGTTGTCTGCACCAATTATACTTGCCTTACTTACTTTATGATAATATTGTATTTCAGCACCCCAGCTCTCATTTCCTTAAGTTTACCCACATTTTGCCTGATAGCAACTCCAACAAAGTTTTGCAAACGATCAATTGTTGCATCTGTAAGGCGGCCTCTACCACCGAGGTGTTTTTCTTTTTTTTTTAAATTTCGGAGGCGCGTTCCAACTCTTTTTTGATAATGACCAACACATTCCAGCTTTTCAATTTCTATATCAGGGTATACATTTTTAACACTATAGTAACTTTTAGTATCACCATCACCTAAATATTGAATGTATCGTAACTGGCGATTGTTAATCGAACGTTGAAAGACACATTTTGCTTCTTCTGCCTCCATACCCCCAGCCGAACCTTGGTAATTATACTTGCAAATATGGGAATTTTTCCATTGTGCATAAGAAGTTGGATCAGATTTTTGGAGGCTTTGAGTTAAATTACAACCTTTACAATATCTGGACATGATTTCAACATCTAAAACTTTGCCACTAGCAGTAGAAATGGCAGAAAAGACTCCGTTCAGTGATGAATATCCTCGTTTTTGCCATGTTCCATCGCAAGATGCACAAATATCGGTTACTTTCAAAGCTGTATTTTGCAATTTATTAGCAGCATTTATCATTGTTCGTTCTGCTACAGTTTTAACAGCTTTTGAAATTACTTTTATCAGTTTTTCAAAATTGTTTTTGGTCATTGGCTTAGGTAGATTCATAATGGTACAAAATTTTTTGATGCCTCCATATCCATGACCTAATAATCGCATACAATAAATTATTCGTTTATTGATATCAAATCCTTTTTTATTGTCATAGTTAGAAGTGTAGAACTTTTGAAAATAGTTACAACCTCTTTTCATACACTTAAGATATAGTAAGGATGATAAACCACGTCGTTGAGTATATCTCTCACTTAGTGAGATTGTTGAACAACCACACTCTGGACACAGAACAGAACTTAAAATAGACATTAAAACAGCAACATCAATTATACGATAACTAGATATGGCAGGTTTTGAAAGAATTGTATCTTCTAAGTTTTCGATTTTATGAGCTGAAGCTGACACATTAAGTGGATTTTCAAAAATTGGTTCAGTAACACAAGTGATGTTAGGGGCACTTGGATTTATTGTCGGCAATTCGATATTAGTACAATCAGATACAATAACAGTATTACCAGAATTTTGAACATTTCCCATAAAATTTTTCCTTTTTTT